GGAAGTTAACCCAGAGAAGGAAATATTAAAAAGGCAGGAAAAAAATATTGTTCACCAAAAGGATTTTTAAAAGCATTTTTTTGAAAAGCAGAAACCAAACCTGGCCTCATCTCCTTGCCCAGGGCAGTAGCTGGTCTTATACATATGCAGATGTGGAACCATCAGAAAGTTTGGAGCCAGGGATCTCAAGACAAAAGAAACTCTTAAGAGTCATTAGCCCCATCACCTGGGAAGCAGGATATGTTAATGGGATTAAACCACAGATATCAAGGCCTAGAAAAACACTCAGAAATAGCCTCAAAGTTCATGCCACAGGAACAGGAAACTTCCAGGCAGGGCTAGAGGGTATAAAAAGACCGTCTGCCCATGTGTTCACTCTTTTTTTCTTCTCCTCTGCTGCTTATCTGTCTTCTGCAATAAACTGTAACCTTCTTCCCAAAGCAGTCGCCATGTTTGCTTATTTATTCCCGGCTTGGATGAACCAGGATGAAGACTTACCTTCTAACAAGGGAATAGAAGGGGAACTCCTGCAAGCCATTGCTTTCAGACACTGACTCCCCCCTACCTCACCCCCCAGCCCCACCGAAGGCCAGGCCGATCGCTTGCCAGTACCATGATCTGACGTCTTCAGCCGAGACTGCCGAGAGAGAAAGAGGCTACCAGCAAGTGCCTGGCTTGCCTAATGCCAAAGATGTTTCTCCCTCCCCAAAACATAAATTTAGCAGCTGGCTTCATTCTGGTGTACTATCCATTTCACCCTCGGGAGGGCTGAAGGGGTCAAGCACTGCCTGGAGGGAGAGAGGGAGAGGAAAGGTCACTGTCGACAAATTTATCATCCACCACCAATTCTACTTCTTGGTGGAGCCCACCCCAGAGCCAAGCAGGAAGCCCACGGAAAGGGGAGCCTCTTCTGCCCCTTTGCTGTTCAGCCTAGAGCCCAGGCAAAATGGGCTCCCCTGGGATGGGCATGCAGCCCCCCCCCCAAATGGCTTTGTCTAAAAAAGTGTCCTGCACAAAGGTTTCTCTTTTATCCTACTGAAGAAACACTTCAGCAATTTCTCCCTGTGACAAGTCTTACTTTCAATCTAAAAAACACCCCCCTCTGGCCAAAAGGAAGTGTGGTTCTGCCAGGCTGTCAAGATACAAGAGTTCTGGGGGTTCCTTTCTGTACATTCAGATTTTTCAGATTAAAAGGATTTATAGTCAACTATGCAAGCATCAACAAGGTTTTTTTTCTAAAAGTCAAAATGTTTAAATCTTTAATTTCAAAATATCAAGCTCAGCATCAAGGGATAGGGTGAGAAACTCATAAAGAGACAGTGGAGCCAGGAATCTGTAGGGAGGCATTTTCTATTTATTAGCACTGGAATAAATTAAAAAATTCAACACGGTCACATTCCAATTCTCCCAATTCTTCATCCAAAAACATGTTCCGGATACACACTCCATGTCAATAAATCAAAGTACCAGAATTTTGCCTGGAGTGCTACATAAATACATATTAATTGGGTTAAAATGCAGTATTGCAGGCTGATTCTGCTGACTGCTGACTGCCGACTGTCAGCAGTTTGGCAGTTCGAGTCTCACCAGCTCCAGGTTGACTCGGCCTTCCATCCTTCCGAGGTGGGTAAAATGAGGACCCAGATTGTTGGGGGCCACAGGCTGACATTTGTAAACTGCTTAGAGAGGGCTGTAAAAGGACTGTGAAGCAGCATATAAGTCTTAGTGCAATTGCTATTGCTATTAAAAATTGTTCTCAATGACAGTTCACATTTTTATAAACTAAAAATTATTTCTTAATTTGAAGTATTTAGAATGTGTATAATTGCCAAGCAAGATAGTATTAGTTCAAATGATTTAGAATTTAAGATCTGCAGGGAGTAACAGTTGTCCCTCACCTGAGAGAACAATCAATTAATCAATCCAACAGTGAGGGCATGAGGGCCTTTATAGTAGTCCTCGACTTACAACCACAATTGAGCCCAAAATTTGTTTCTAAGCAAGGCAGTTGTTAAGTGAGTTTTGCTCCATTTTATGACCTTTTATGCCACAGTTGTTAAGCGAATCACTGCAGTTGTTTAGTGAATCGCACGGTCGTTAAGCAAATCTGGCTTCCCCCCTCTCCCTTGCGTGTCCGAAGCTGGCTCGGAAGGTTACAGGCGGTGATCACAGGACCCCAAGACAGCGCAGCTTCCCTCAATACGTGCCGGTTGCCAAGTGCCTGGATTTTGATCCCGTGACTGTGGGGATACTGCAGTGGTCGCAAGCAGTGGTGGGATTCAAATAGGTGAACCACCGGTTCTGTGTGGATGCCGCTTCCGGAAGTCCATTCTGAGCCTGGGCAACAAAAAATTAGCTACCGGTTCTGCCAAAGTGGTGCGAACTGGCTGAATCCCACCACTGGTCACAAGTGTGGAAAACGGGTCAGAGGTCACTTTTTCACTTCCGTTATAACTTTAGATGGTCACTACACAAATGGTTGTAATTGGAGGACCTCTTGCACTTATTTAATCAGACCTGTAAAAGGGAGGTAGGGAAAGCTGTAACACTGGGGAAATCATGGCAACCTGTATTAAGAGATTAGCGGAGCAGGAGAGGTTTAACGGCAGGCAAGCCGCTTCTCTGTCTTTGCTACCGAGGAGATAGACGGGGGAGGGGAGGAGAGAGAGAAACGCCTCCCTGACCGATTGGTCGGCGGAAAGAGAAAGCAGTCTCGCTAGTGTGCGCATGCGCGCTCGTCGCTCGCCGCCATTTTGTCCGGTCAGGCGTTCCGGAGGCTGCGACGATGTCGAAGGACTCGGAGCGGGCCGCGTATAATTTGCCCCCGATCGACGTTCCGAAGCCTGAGCCCCCAGTGCCCCATTCCGGCCCGACCCTCTTCTTCGAGAAGCTCTTTTACTACACGGTAGACAGACCGGTCACCCTGTACAGAGGTGAGGAGGAGGAGGGGCAGGAGCTCCAGGGAGGGCGGGGCGGTGCTTTCGCGACTACAACTCCCGTCATCCTCAGCCATAGCGGTTGGAAGGCGGGGCGGGGCTTCTTTCAGGTGTGTGGACTTCAGCTCCCACAATTCCGCAGCCTGCATGGCTATCGGTGAGGATTCTGGGAGCCGAAGTCCATGTACCCTGCAGTTGCCAAGGTTGGACTGACCGGCTGAGGCTCCGCTCCAGTTGCGGCGCCTTCCCCGCTGGACCGCTGGGTGGGGGGCGGGGGGGGAATTCGGAGTCAGCTTTGCCCTGGAGGGCGGGGCGCCGCTGGCCACGGGGAGCCGGCTTTGGAGGGAGAGGCCTCGCGAGCCTGGCGCGGGCGGGGGGCTCGAGCCCACTTGGAGATCCAGGTGGGGAGCAGCCTCGGCAGGGCGGCCTTTCCACGGGGGCTTCCTAGGAATAAGGCCCCCGGAGGGCATTTGGGATTGAATTGCCTTCTTGCTTGCCTGGGAGGAAGCCGCTTCTTTCATTTCTATCAATCTTCAACTTTCATTTCTTGCACCTTTTGCTTTTGCTTTGCTTTGATTTCATTTCTTATTTCTTCCTTACTATATATTAGTTTCTTAGTTTTTATCTTCTTGTGAATAAAGTATACAAAAAAGGGCAAGCTGTCTTAAGGGCCTAGAGATCACTTCATAGGTAGGTAGGTAGGTAGGTAGGTAGGTAGATAGATAGATAGATAGATAGATAGATAGATAGATAACCTTTATGTGGGCACAATGGCACACATTAAAAATGAAATTTAGTTGCTTCCTCTCAAAGTGTACACGTACATAACAAACATAACAAATGTAAAACATACTATATACGACATATGTATAGATCAGGATCTTCAAATTGGCCCTTTTATGACTTGTGGATTTCAACTCCCAGAATTCCTCAGCCAGCATGCCTGGCTGAGGAATTCTGTGAGTTGAAGTCCACAAGTCGTAAAAGGGCCAAGTTTGAAGACCCCTGGTATAGATCTACACCCTTACATATAAGTAACATATAAATATTATTCACTGTCCATCTTGAATACATAACGGAAGGAGGAAGCTTTAGATTAAAAGATCTCTCTAGCTCCTGTCTTGAATAAGGTTACTTTTTCTTTCAACAGAATGGATTGAACGCCAGCGTGCAAACAGTAAGGTTTATTACTATCATCGGGAGTTCCGTCGTGTGCCAGACATTACAGAATGCTTGGAGGATGACTACCTGTGCATCTACGAAGCTGAGATGCAGTGGAAAAGAGATTTGTATGTCTGTATCTTTCCCAGTCTCTTGCCAAATGATCTGTTATGCAGGCCATCGTTAACTACAGCCTTATGTGCTTAAATTGCTTGAAGTATTTTGTAGCCTGCTAAGTAACTAGCAGTACAGGCAGCAGTTAAAATATGGCAAGCTTGGAAATATAGGTAGAGCCACAGGTACTCCAAGAGAAGAGTCCAAAATGTCCTAGGATCAGGTTTTTTTCCGGGGCTTATAAATTACAGTGGTGGAACAAATAAAGGAGAAGAGCAGAAAGCTTATCTTCCAAAGGGGGTCCTCTTCAGTCACAAAGGTGTGTACAGGACAATGAGAAGCGGTTCTTTTTATACCAGGTTGGTCCAATCTTCAGTATTTTATCTAATGCAAACATTTTACCGTGTATATAATAGTAAGGCTGGGCCTGCTTTGGTAAAGATTTGTTAGTGGTTCAAACCTCACAGGAGCCATCTTTCCAGTGGGCATAAGCCTAAAAAGAGGCTGGTTTAGGTTGCAGTAAAAGGGCACTGAGCTTGCAGGGCTAACTGGAGGAGTAAATATGTTTATTACAGCGTTCTCCAAATCTGTTTCATAGGCAAGTTGACCAGGAAATTGTGAAAATCATACGGGAGAGACTAGGGGCTTGCAGAGTCCGGGAAGGCGTGAATGCCCCTGAAAATTGTGCAACGGACCTACAGCTATTTAAAGATGTGGCCAAAGCTTATAGGGATCGATGTAAGTCAACCATTTTTTACATTAAACTATGTAAAACCAAATCCCAAATTCTAAGCCAGGGCTTTTCAACCAGTGGTACAGATACCACCTGTGGTATATTGGCACCTGGCAGGTGGTACGCGGCCATCCTAGAAAAGTGGTAGCAAGAGAGGGGAATGAGCTGAACTGGTGGCAGCACCGCACAAGTCTGAGCGAGAGATGGCTGGAGCTGCACGGTTGTCAGGGCTTCGCGGAAGCACCAGGATCAGTGCCAGGCTCCAGCTGAGGTCGGCGCTGATCCTGGTGCTTTTGCTGAGCCCAGAAGAAGCGCCGATCAGCTGGAATGTTGCAGCCTCTCCAGGGTCTTGTGATTTACATTCAGATGCTTGGCAACTGATTCATATTTATGACGGTCACAGTGTCCCAGGGTCATATGAAGTGACCAAAACCTGCTGCAGCCACCCAGCAGACGGGGGGAATAAAAACCAAACACCACCCCACCCCCACTGCCAATCCTCAACAGAAATGCTCACAACAATGAAAACCTTGGACAGGAGGAAGAGTGCCACCGGGTGGGCAGGCAGGTGTCTTGCTCGGCTGTGGCTTGTGGGGCACTTTTTTCAGTGCCATTGTAACTTCAAACAGTCATTAAGCGAGCTGTTGTAAGTTGAGGACTACCTGTACTTTATCACTTTTTTCCTTTTTTTTTTTTGTCATCAAGTTTTTGACACCTTGCTAGGTGGTACTCGGATA